CCTCCCCCCTCTCATGTGCTCTCTGTCTCTCTCATTCTCTCTGTCTCAAATAAATAGATAAGGTCTTTAAAAAAAAAAAAAGAAAAGAAATGGTTAGCAACCTAAAATGTCTTTTTTCAGAGCTATTCGGTATACACAGCAATTTTTTTTTACCTGTTATTGGCAAATAGTTCATTTTCAAGTTCTCTGCTACTTGCTATTTTATTGGATCTATTTATCTTCACATCAAAATTAATCTTCAGGGTAACCTGTGACTCCCCATCAGATGTTTATTCCATCCCGGCTCTCTTGGCCTTCACCCCGACTCCAACCCCAGGGTTAGCACCAGGAGCTGTGCAAGAAGCCCTCCAAATACATTTACCAAAAAGAAAATTGCAAAACTGTTTCAAGGATTGCCAGCAGTCTTGGCTATGCTAGGATCAGAACTCCAGAACTCTAGCATAGTAATACTTGCTTATGTTTGTAAAGCAGCTTACAATTTACAGAGCATTTTTAAATCCACTTTCTCATTACATGTCCCTAGGTCTATTGAATAGGTGAGAGAACAAAGATGACCATTTCACAGATGAGCAAACTGAGATTCGGAGAAGTTAAATAACCTGCCAAAAGCCACACAGCTAGAAATTGACAGAACCTGCTGCAGACCCATCCATGTCTTGCTCCAAATCCAGCTGGGTCTCCTATACGCCACTTGTCCCCTCCCTCCCTTTCCTATTGGAGCAATTCTTTCTACCCTTCTTTCTACCCTCCTGGCATCCTACCAGAATCCTAGCATCCTTTTTCTCTTTTCTCTCCATCGCAGTTGATTTCTACCTATTGATGTTTCAAGGAGTCAGGCAACGGCAGCTACTTTTCTCTACTTATGTGTATGTCCTTGGCTTGCCCTATGTGTCTACCAGTATAATGGCTCAGGTCCAGATCCACTTAGAGCCTACATTTCCCAGAGAACAAAGAATGAAGGCTGCTGGACAAAGAAACATCTAGGCAGTGATTGGGAGATGAGGGTGGGCTAGGTGATTAAGCAAAGAAAATTTGGGCTTCCTCTATCCCCAGGACCCAGCCCCAGATCAAACCATGGAAATGGTGGTTGCAGCAGCTTCTAGGCCATTCATGAGATCATCAGGGAATTCAGAACCCACTCCCCGGCCCAGTCAGCCCCATCAATGAACTCACTGGGGAGCATTTGTGCTTCTTAAGGCTGAGCACAGGTACTCAAGCCTTAGCTGGCCCCATGCAGACAGAAGAGAAGAGCGGTCAGTGGGCAGGCTGGCTGGTCATTTCCCCTGGGATCTATGGATTACACATTGAGTCCATGCAGGTGTCTCCACATCCAAGAGGGAACCCAGACCTTGGGGGACAGAGTCCTCTGATGATCTTTTTCAGCTCCCCGCTCCATCAGGTCTGACTTCCTGTACCTAGATTTTGAGATCTTCTGGAATACGACCCTATCCTTTCTGATCTCGACTCTTGCTTCTGTTCCTTGCCCCCGAGGATCCCACAGACCTCCCCAAGGGACCTCATACCTCAAGCATTCCCACCTCGTCTTTTTGCAAACACTGCCCTACCCTCACGGAAAACCTCTCCTGTCCTTTACTGACTATCATTAGTTGAAGGCCAGTTAAAAGTCAGCCTCCTCCATGAAGGCTCCTTTGACTCCTCTAGTACACAATGATGTCACCCTTCTGTAAATTTCATTTAGAATTCATCTTTTACTTTATGTTCTGTTTACTAAGTGTTATTCCACCATCCCCATCCCCCTCCCCCTGATGGTAAGCTCCTCCAGAGCTCAGTCTTACTTCTTTTGTAACTTCTTACTGTCAGTGAATTCTGGGCACCTAGGATTTTAGTAAACCTTCACTCTCAGCAAGTGCTTGGCACTGGATGAATAGAAATGTAACAAGCCATCGTGACAGTTCTCAAAAAGATTGCAACCTCTTTTAGAAAACAGGACATAAATGTGTTTACCTAGCCTGAGCCTGGGAGGCTGTCTGGGACTCAATAATCATAATAAAAGGTGAAGGGATTTGAGCCATATTTTGTAGACAATGGAGTTAGTAGAGGTCTTTTGAGCAAGAGAGGGGAGATGCGTACAAGATGGAAGATTAATTTAGCTGCAGCCTTGCTTTCTTCCCTGGGCCACAGGAGCCTTTTCTCTGTTCTTTGAACCCTTCATGTTTGTTCCTGTCTCAGGCCCTTGCACTGATAATTTCCTTTGTGTGGAATGCGTTTTCCCCATCTTCACACGGCTGGCTTTATTTATTTATTTATTTTTTTCAAAGTTCCCTTCAAATGCCTTCTCCTCAGGGACACTTTCCTGATGACGTACCTGGAGCAACTCCCATCCTCCGTCACTTTCAGTGTTTGTCTTTTTTGTTCAGAGCATTTCTGAAATTACCTTTGTTTGTTTGCCTGACTGTGATCTCTCTCCACTCCCGTGGGTTAAAGCTCCACGAAGGCGAGGAGCTGTTTTCTTTCCTGTACCGTCGTGCACCCAGTGCTTGGCCGGGTCTCTGTCATATCATAGTTGCTCTACAAAAACGCGCTGTTTGAATGAATGAGTGTTTAGCACGGACTGTGAGGGGAGGAGTGGTGGCAGCTGGGCAGAGCCAAGAGTCACTGAGGCAAGGAGCCTGGGCTGGAGTGAACAGGACCGG